GTGTGTGTGTGTCTGTCTGTCGGTGTGTGTGTGTGTGTGTGTGTGTGTGTGTGTGTGTGTGTGTGTGTGTGTGTGTGTCTGTCCGTGTGTGTGTGTGTGTGTGTGTCTGTCCATGTGTGTCCGTGTGTGTGTGTGTGTGTGTGTGTGTCTGTCCGTGTGTGTGTGTGTTTGTGTGTGTCTGTCCGTGTCTGTGTGTGTGTGTGTGTGTCTGTGTCCGTGTGTGTTTGTGTGTGTCTGTATGTGTGCGTGTCTGTGTGTTTGTGTGTGTGTGTGTGTGTGTGTGTGTCTGTCCGTGTGTGTGTGTGTGTGTGTGTGTGTGTGTCTGTCCGTGTGTGTCTGTGTGTGTGTGTGTGTGTATGCTAAAGTGTAAACACGCCTGGACCGGGCCCTTTGAAGCTGACCACAGCCGCAGGGAGCTCCAGCCAAATGGCCACAAAGACCCACATTTTGGAGTCTGAACCATCTGCACTTTTATATATAACTGGTCCCAAAATACTGACGCTCCTGGTGCCAGAGGGAGACAGGAAACAGAAGGGTTAGCAAGAGACAGGGTTAGCAAGAGACGGGGTTAGCAAGAGACGGGGTTAGCTAGAGACGGGGTTAGCAAGAGACAGGGTTAGCAAGAGACAGGGTTAGCAAGAGACAGGGTTAGCAAGAGACAGGGTTAGCAAGAGACAGGGTTAGCAAGAGACAGGGTTAGCAAGAGACAGGGTTAGCATGTGACAGGGTTAGCAAGAGACGGGGTTAGCATGAGACGGGGTTAGCAAGAGACGGGGTTAGCAAGAGACTGGGTTAGCAAGAGACTGGGGTAGCAAGAGACGGGGTTAGCAAGAGACAGGGTTAGCAAGAGACAGGGTTAGCAAGAGACAGGGTTAGCAAGAGACAGGGTTAGCAAGAGACGGGGTTAGCAAGAGACGGGAAACAGAAGGGTTAGCAAGAGACGGGGTTAGCAAGAGACAGGGTTAGCAAGAGACGGGGTTAGCAAGAGACGGGGTTAGCAAGAGACAGGGTTAGCATGTGACAGGGTTAGCATGTGACAGGGTTAGCAAGAGACAGGGTTAGCAAGAGACAGGGTTAGCAAGTGACAGGGTTAGCAAGAGACAGGGTTAGCAAGAGACGGGGTTAGCAAGAGACGGGGTTAGCAAGAGACAGGGTTAGCAAGAGACAGGGTTAGCAAGAGACAGGGTTAGCAAGAGACGGGGTTAGCAAGTGACGGGGTTAGCAAGAGACGGGGTTAGCAAGAGACAGGGTTAGCAAGAGACAGGGTTAGCAAGAGACAGGGTTAGCAAGAGACGGGGTTAGCAAGAGACGGGGTTAGCAAGAGACAGGGTTAGCAAGAGACGGGGTTAGCAAGAGACGGGGTTAGCAAGAGACAGGGTTAGCAAGAGACGGGGTTAGCAAGAGACGGGGTTAGCAAGAGACGGGGTTAGCAAGAGACAGGGTTAGCAAGAGACGGGGTTAGCAAGAGACGGGGTTAGCATGTGACAGGGTTAGCATGAGACAGGGTTAGCAAGAGACGGGGTTAGCAAGAGACGGGGTTAGCTAGAGACGGGGTTAGCAAGAGACAGGGTTAGCAAGAGGGTTAGCAAGAGACAGGGTTAGCAAGAGACAGGGTTAGCAAGAGACAGGGTTAGCAAGAGACAGGGTTAGCAAGAGACAGGGTTAGCAAGAGACAGGGTTAGCAAGAGACAGGGTTAGCAAGAGACGGGGTTAGCAAGAGACAGGGTTAGCAAGAGACAGGGTTAGCAAGAGACAGGGTTAGCAAGAGACAGGGTTAGCAAGAGACAGGGTTAGCAAGAGACAGGGTTAGCAAGAGACGGGTTAGCAAGAGACGGGGTTAGCAAGAGACGGGGTTAGCAGAGACGGGGACAAGAGACGGGTTAGCAAGAGACAGGGTAGCAAGAGACAGGGTTAGCTAAGAGACAGGGTTAGCAAGAGACAGGGTTAGCAAGAGACAGGGTTAGCAAGAGACAGGGTTAGCAAGAGACAGGGTTAGCAAGAGACGGGGTTAGCAAGAGGGGTTAGCAAGAGACAGGGTTAGCAAGAGACGGGGTTAGCAGAGAGACGGGTTAGCAAGAGACGGGTTAGCAAGAGACGGGTTAGCAAGAGACAGGGTTAGCAAGAGACGGGGTTAGCAAGAGACAGGGTTAGCAAGAGACGGGTTAGCAAGAGACGGGGTTAGCAAGAGACGGGGTTAGCAAGACGGGTTAGCAAGAGACGGGGTTAGCAAGAGACGGGTTAGCAAGAGACGGGTTAGCAAGAGACAGGGTTAGCAAGAGAGACGGGTTAGCAAGAGACGGGGTTAGCAAGCAAGAGACAGGGTTAGCAAGAGACAGGGTTAGCAAGAGACAGGGTTAGCAAGAGACGGGGTTAGCATGTGACAGGGTTAGCATGTGATGGGGTTAGCATGAGACAGGGTTAGCATGTGACAGGGTTAGCAAGAGACGGGGTTAGCAAGAGACGGGGTTAGCATGTGACAGGGTTAGCATGTGACAGGGTTAGCATGTGACAGGGTTAGCAAGAGACGGGGTTAGCAAGAGACGGGGTTAGCAAGAGACAGGGTTAGCAAGACAGGGTTACAAGGGGGGTTAGCAAGAGACGGGTTAGCAAGAGACGGGTTAGCAAGAGACGGTTAGCAAGAGACGGGTTAGCAAGAGACAGGGTTAGCAAGAGACGGGTTAGCAAGAGACAGGGTTAGCAAGAGACAGGGTTAGCAAGAGACGGGGTTAGCAGCAAGAGACAGGGTTAGCAAGAGACAGGGTTAGCAAGAGACAGGGTTAGCAAGAGACAGGGTTAGCAAGAGACGGGTTAGCAAGAGACGGTTAGCAAGAGACGGGGTTAGCAAGAGACAGGGTTAGCAAGAGACAGGGTTAGCAAGAGACGGGTTACAAGAGCAGGTTAGCAGAGACGGGTTAGCAAGAGACAGGGTTAGCAAGAGACGGGGTTAGCAAGAGACGGGGTTAGCAAGAGACGGTTAGCAGAGACGGGGTTAGCAAGAGACGGGGTTAGCAAGAGACAGGGTTAGCAAGAGACGGGGTTAGCAAGAGACGGGGTTAGCAAGAGACGGGGTTAGCAAGAGAGGGGTTAGCAAGAGACAGGGTTAGCAAGAGACGGGGTTAGCAAGAGACGGGGTTAGCAAGAGACGGGGTTAGCAAGAGACGGGGTTAGCAAGAGACGGGGTTAGCAAGAGACGGAGACGGGTTAGCAAGAGACAGGGTTAGCAAGAGACAGGGTTAGCATGAGACAGGGTTAGCAAGAGACAGGGTTAGCAAGAGACGGGTTAGCAAGAGACAGGGTTAGCAAGAGACGGGGTTAGCAAGAGACGGGGTTAGCAAGAGACGGGGTTAGCAAGAGACGGGGTTAGCAAGAGACGGGGTTAGCAAGAGACAGGGTTAGCAAGAGACAGGGTTAGCATGTGACAGGGTTAGCATGTGACAGGGTTAGCAAGAGACGGGGTTAGCAAGAGACAGGGTTAGCAAGAGACGGGGTTAGCAAGAGACGGGGTTAGCAAGAGACGGGGTTAGCAAGAGACGGGTTAGCAAGAGACGGGTTAGCAAGAGACGGGGTTAGCAAGAGACGGGGTTAGCAAGAGACGGGGTTAGCAAGAGACGGGGTTAGCAAGAGACGGGGTTAGCAAGAGACGGGGTTAGCAAGAGACGGGTTAGCAAGAGACGGGGTTAGCAAGAGACAGGGTTAGCAAGAGACGGGGTTAGCAAGAGACAGGGTTAGCAAGAGACAGGGTTAGCAAGAGACAGGGTTAGCAAGAGACAGGGTTAGCAGAGACAGGGTTAGCAGACAGGGTTAGCAAGAGACAGGGTTAGCAAGAGACGGGTTAGCAAGAGACAGGGTTAGCAAGAGAGAGCAAGAGACGGGTTAGCAAGAGACGGGGTTAGCAAGAGACAGGGTTAGCAAGAGACGGGGTTAGCAAGAGACGGGGTTAGCAAGAGACGGGGTTAGCAAGAGACAGGGTTAGCAAGAGACAGGGTTAGCATGAGACAGGGTTAGCATGTGACAGGGTTAGCAAGAGACGGGGTTAGCAAGAGACGGGGTTAGCAAGAGACGGGGTTAGCAAGAGACGGGTTAGCAAGAGACGGGGTTAGCAAGAGACAGGGTTAGCAAGAGACAGGGTTAGCAAGAGACGGGGTTAGCAAGAGACAGGGTTAGCAAGAGACGGTTAGCAAGAGGGTTAGCAAGAGACAGGGTTAGCAAGAGACAGGGTTAGCAAGAGACAGGGTTAGCAAGAGACGGGGTTAGCAAGAGACGGGTTAGCAAGAGACGGGTTAGCAAGAGACAGGGTTAGCAAGAGACAGGGTTAGCATGAGACAGGGTTAGCAAGAGACAGGGTTAGCAAGTGACAGGGTTAGCAAGAGACGGGGTTAGCAAGAGACAGGGTTAGCAAGAGACGGGGTTAGCAAGAGACAGGGTTAGCAAGAGACAGGGTTAGCATGTGACAGGGTTAGCAAGAGACAGGGTTAGCAAGAGACGGGGTTAAGAGACAGGGTTAGCAAGAGACAGGGTTAGCAAGAGACAGGGTTAGCAAGAGACAGGGTTAGCAAGAGACGGGGTTAGCATGTGACAGCCTCAGGCCTCGTCCAAACAGCTTCAGAATCAACACAGAGATTCTTGGATCCATCACAGGGTCGAGGTGAAGCCGAGCGTGTGTTGACAAGACAACACAATCACACACAATCACACACAATCACACACAACCACACACAACCACACTCCTGGATTAGCAAAGTGAGAGGTTTGAGGTCGTTAGCGGGACGCGCAGAGAGAGTTTACAGAAGCACGAGCCTCAGCGAGAAGAGACTGAAGATTTATCAGAAAAGTAGGATTTTTGAGGAAGAGGTTTTTAATGTGTGTGTGTCTAGTTTGGTAGATAATACAGATACAAGTGTGCGTACTTGTGTGTGCGTATGTGTGTGTTATTTCTGACCATGGGACACAGCATATAATGTTCTAAAAAATTCTGGAAAAACCCATAACTTTAACCAGTATTATTTGCCCCTGCCTGGAGCCGGGTCTGAAGCCGGGTCTGGAGCCGGGTCTGGAGCCGGGTCTGGAGCCGGGTCTGGAGCCGGGTCTGGAGCCGGGTCTGGAGCCGGGTCTGGAGCCGGGTCTGGAGCCGGGTCTGGAGCAGGGTCTGGAGCCGGGTCTGGAGCAGGGCCTGGAGCCGGGTCTGGAGCAGGGTCTGGAGCCGGGTCTGAAGCAGGGTCTGGAGCCGGGTCTGGAGCAGGGTCTGGAGCCGGGTCTGGGCCTGGAACAGGGACTGGGTCTAGAGCCGAGCCCAGACCCAGTCTGTGAACTCCTTGAGCAAACAGAGGAACAGTGAGCGTTGAGGCAAACATGACCATTTGAACCGGAAACCTTCGGCGGGACTGGGCAGGACGGCGTTTGAACCAAAAACCTCTGGCAAACAGAGGTGTGTTTGAAGCCAAACACTGAGGACGGCAGAGCCCGCATGGATCTCGTATGGATCTCACATGGACCTGACATGGACCTGACATGGACCTGACATGGACCTGACATGGAGCTCTCATGGGGAATCTGACAGTGGAGCCAGAGGAGAGCAACAATCAGCTCAGTCATCGGGGAACAGAGGAGCTCCAGGACTTACAGACGTGTGAAGAGAGGTCTGGTCTGGGACAGGCCTGGGTCTGGTCTGGGGCAGGTCTGGTTCTGGGACAGGGCTGGGTCTGGGTCTAGACTGAGGTGTGGAGAAACTCTGGTGGGCTCTAAAGAGACATTGGTCCATAAAAGTCCTGGATCTTCTCTGTCTTAGAAGAAAAAATGTGGGAACTCCACAGTGACAGGCCCTGTTCCAACCGGGATTCGAACCCAGGACGTTTTTTTTCTTCCAGAGAAGCGAGAGGGCTAACCACTCAGCCACGAGCCTCCCACCACAATGTCAATCACTATTTTAAACTTTAGTCTCTTGGGAATGTTGCAACTTTATAGACAGAGTTCATTCCCACTTGTCCCAAGAACGTGAAAGGAGAGTAGAGGAAAAAGGTAAAGTATGAGGAGGTGAGTATGAGTATAGAGTATGAGGAGCAGAGTATGAGGAGCAGAGTATGAGGAGCAGAGTATGAGGAGGAGAGTATGAAGAGTAGAGTATGAGGAGTAGAGTATGAGGAGGAGAGTATGAAGAGCAGAGTATGAGGAGGAGAGTATGAGGAGCAGAGTATGAGGAGCAGAGTATGAGGAGCAGAGTATGAGGAGTAGAGTATGAGGAGGAGAGTATGAAGAGTAGAGTATGAGGAGTAGAGTATGAGAATAGAGTATGAAGAGCAGAGTATGAGGAGGAGAGTATGAGGAGGAGAGTATGAGGAGGAGAGTATGAGGAGGAGAGTATGAGGAGGAGAGTATGAGGAGCAGAGTATGAGGAGCAGAGTATGAGGAGGAGAGTGTGAGGAGCAGAGTATGAGGAGGAGAGTATGAGGAGTAGAGTATGAGTATAGAGTATGAGGAGCAGAGTATGAGGAGGAGAGTATGAGGAGGAGAGTATGAGGAGCAGAGTATGAGGAGCAGAGTTTGAGGAGCAGAGTATGAGGAGTAGAGTATGAGTATAGAGTATGAGGAGGAGAGTATCAGCAGCAGAGTATGGGGAGTAGAGTATGAGTATAGTGTATGAGGAGGAGAGTATGAGGAGCAGAGTATGAGTATAGTGTATGAGGAGGAGAGTATGAGGAGCAGAGTATGAGTATAGAGTATGAGTATAGAGTATGAAGAGCAGAGTATGAGAATAGATTATGAGTATTGAGTATGAGGAGCAGAGTGTGAGTATAGAGTATGAGAATAGAGTATGAGGAGCAGAGTGTGAGAATAGAGTATGAGGAGCAGAGTATGAGGAGCAGAGTATGAGGAGCAGAGTATGAGGAGCAGAGTATGAGGAGTAGAGTATGAGGAGCAGAGTATGAGGAGCAGAGTATGAGGAGGAGAGTATGAGGAGTAGAGTATGAGGAGAAGAGTGTGAGGAGTAGAGTATGAGGAGGAGAGTATGAGTATAGAGTATGAGGAGCAGAGTATGAGGAGTAGAGTATGAGGAGGAGAGTATGAGTAGAGTATGAGGAGCAGAGTATGAGGAGCAGAGTATGAGGAGCAGAGTATGAGGAGCAGAGTATGAGGAGGAGAGTATGAGGAGTAGAGTATGAGGAGGAGAGTGTGAGGAGCAGAGTATGAGGAGGAGAGTATGAGGAGCAGAGTGTGAGAATAGAGTATGAGGAGGAGAGTGTGAGGAGGAGAGTATGAGGAGGAGAGTATGAGGAGGAGAGTATGAGTATAGAGTATGAGGAGCAGAGTATGAGGAGCAGAGTATGAGGAGCAGAGTATGAGGAGCAGAGTATGAGGAGGAGAGTATGAGGAGGAGAGTGTGAGGAACAGAGTATGAGGAGGAGAGTATGAGTATAGAGTATGAGGAGCAGAGTGTGAGAATAGAGTATGAGGAGCAGAGTATGAGTATAGAGTATGAGGAGCAGAGTATAGAGTATAGAGTATGAGGAGCAGAGTATGAGTATAGCGTATGAGGAGCAGAGTATGAGTATAGCGTATGAGTATAGAGTATGAGTATAGAGTATGAGGAGCAGAGTATGAGTATAGAGTATGAGGAGCAGAGTATGAGTATAGAGTATAGAGTATGAGGAGCAGAGAAAGAGTATAGAGTATAGTGTATGAGGAGCAGAGTATGAGTATAGCGTATAGAGTATGAGGAGGAGGCGCACACACATCACTCTTCGCTCCTGATGATTGTGAGCATCAGTCTGTGACACGTGTTTGAAGTGAGTCTCTTTAAATACAGCGTGACATCACAAGCCGGGCCCAAACACAAAGGTCTCTCTCACACACACACATACACAGGTATCTACACACACACACGCACATACACAGGTCTCTACACACACACACACACACACACACACACTGCAGCATCTAGAGCCTGACGTCAGTGTGAGGAATGCAGAGGAGACAGAGCGTGTGCAGATACAGCACAGACAGGTCCAACCTCAGGCCCACGAGCCAAGTGCGGTCCTGTCATAATAATAATAATAATAATAATGCATCGCTTTTATACAGTGCTTTTTTGGACACTCAAAGACGCTTCAAATGTCATTATTCATTCACTCCATACACGGTGGTGATAAACTACTACTGTAGCCACAGCTGCCCTGGGGCACACTGACAGAAGCGAGGCAACCAGTCTGTGCCATCGGCCCCTCCCACCACCACCAACCATTCACACACACGTCATGCCCAGTGGGGGCGGGTCCCGGCTCAAAAGAGGCCAAAATGACGTGCACTGACATGCTGCAATACCACCCCGGGCCGATGGGGGTGGCCCGGGAATAAGAATTAGCCAATGCTAACATATAGCATCTTCTTACTTCTCGAAAACGTCTTTACAGGATGGTCCAAAAGTTGGCTCTTGGCCCAAAGCTCCGTTCCACATGTGTGTCAATGCTGAGGGGGGTGTTCTGGACCACTCTAGTTTAGTCGCTGAGAATTTTTGAAGTCTCTCGTTTAAATGAATGGGGCTCGTGCAGCTGACCCCCCCCCCCCCCCCAGTCTATGGTCATGCCCCGCGGCCCTCTACACACTCCCACAGATTTGATCCCTTCTTTTGCAGTCTATGATGTGACACAATACAACAAAGTCTGTCCCAGTTTCCCTGATGCTGTGATGAGGACATGTCAGTAATAACAGAAGAAAAACAGACAAAAAACAGAAGAAAAACAGACAAAAAGCAGAAGAAAAACAGACAAAAAACAGAAGAAAAACAGACGGCATCATTACTGTTGCTTTACTGTGATCTGTAAAAGGGAAAGGGTTCAGTGAAGATCAGGCTGTCATTTAGAGGGTGTTTCCCTCTCTCCTCTCCCTGTGTCTCCCTCTCTCTCACTCTTTCTCTCTCTTGCTCCCTCTCTCCTCCTCCCCCTCCTCCACCCTCTCCCCCTCCTCCACCCTCTCCTCCTCCTCCTCCTCTCTCCTTCTCCTCCCCCTCCTCCACCCACTCCTCCTCCTCCTCCTCTCTCCTTCTCCTCCCCTTCCTCCCACCCTCTCTCCTCCTTCCCCTCCTCCTCCTCTCTCCTCCTCCCTCTCTCCCTCTCCTCCACCCTCTCCTCCTCCCTCTCTCCTCCTCCACCTCCTCAAACCAGACCCTGACGTCACCAAAACAAACTCGCACATGGAAAGTTCAAGACAAATCTTCACCTTTGATTTGATTTGAATGAGACCGAGAGGGTTCAGACACACACAGGCTCCCTCAGGCCACACTCCACACACAATACTACAACAATACTACAACAATCCTACAATAATACTGCAGTTATATACTAATCAGACACAGTCCAAACAGCAGCAGAGTAATGCAACTTAGTTCATGGTCTCTCCTTGAAGAAATCAATGTAAGACATAAATAAATACAGTGCACTGGGGCACACTGACAGAAGCGAGGCAACCAGTCTGTGCCATCGGGCAAGACACTCAACCCCCCCCCCCCCCCCGGACGCTCCAGCTCTTCTCTGACAGAGCCATGTTTTCTGAATAAACCAGAGACATTTATTAGAATATCAATGTTCCAATAATCTGTCATGAATCAAAATCTACTGGAAAACTCCATAATCCAAGGTCTCGCTTTCTCTCTGCGGCTTCAGCGACATGTCAATATCCTTTAACATCAACTGAGCTCGTTAGCATTAGCATTAGCATTAGCATAGACTCTGCTAGCGTCGATCTGATCAAAAGCACAGACTGGGAGGTGAGAGTCAGACGCAGCAGTGGAAAGTATGAGTCCTGAGGAGGAGGACGCGGAGGATCCACCAACACATGAATAAATGGAAGTCCAGGGATTAGTCTGTCCCATCACTCACGGATTTCACATCAGGAGGTTTGGAAAGAGCACGGCCCATCGCAAAGAAACTAGGTCACACACTTTTAAAGCTGGGGTCTGTAAAGTTAGCCACAGAATCCATTAGAATAAGTAAGAAAGTCATGTATTTGTATAGCGCTTTAGACAGAGACAGGAGCAGGGTCGTCATGCAACTGTTATACATGTTTATAGTGGTAGGGGAAAACCGGAGCACCTGGAGGAAACCCACGCAGACACAGAGAGAACATACAAACTCCACACACAGAAAGGCCCTGCTCCAGCCGTGATTTGAACCCAGGACCTTCTAAAACAGTAGGTGTACATAGGTACCATATACAACAGTAGGTCAGCATAGGTACCATATACAGCAGTAGGTCAGCATAGGTACCATATACAACAGTAGGTCAGCATAGGTACCATATTTAACAGTAGTTCATCATAGGTACCATAGACAACAGTAGGTCAGCATAGGTACAATAACAACAGTAG